GCCGCTGGCGCCGCGGGTGCTCCGCCGCGTGAAGTGGACGAGGGTCACAAAGAAAGCTGCTCCAGTTTTTTTTTTTTTTTTTTTTTTTTTTTTTTCTTCGAGAAACTGCAGCGATCGGGCGTTGGTCTCCCCGACCCCCGAAAGTTGCGGTGCGTTAATGACCACGACTTCTTAAAAACAGCGGGGAGGTACTGGTGGTATAAGTTTCTTCAGGTGTGGATTTTCCAAGCCTGCATCCGAGGCCCTCGGTTGTTATTCCAGCATCTACAGCCTACATCTACAGCTACCTGGGACCTTGGACTCACCCGGGATGGAGCTGGACCTTGTTCGACCTCCCGGCACCGCTCCCATTGCCAGCCACAGTATAAGCTACAAGCATCGGACTGCTGGAGGCAGCTTGCAAAGACTCTCGTGTTGCTCTGTCCTTAAGTTGTTTAGTTGCACCGGACGTTGTCTGCGCGAACGTGCACGTCATCCAAACACATGTTCGATCAGAAGGATTGTAGGAAGGAGTCATTCTGTCTCGCCAATTTTGGTTGTGGGCTTCTCTTGTTGTCGTAGCCTGCGGGGATCCTCTTAGCCATAGCTGTTTTTGGTCTTGGTTCTGTCTCTCATCCAGGTTTCCCACGTCGGTTGTTCTTCCTTCTCAATTCTAGAGGTCAGTTTGTTCCGGTCCGTGTGCTTATCCCAAGCCATGAACCCTTCGTCATGCAGACCTTGAGATCATCCCTCGTCCCCTTCTCATTCACTCACTTCTCCGTCCACTCCTCGTCCCCTCTGTCTTCCACAATCTTCTAAGTTTGATTCCCTTTCTCTCTTTTCTCCATCCCAGTCTCCCACCTCCCAACCATTCTTTGATTATTTCCTCAATTCATATTTTTCTACCAATCTTGTCTTCCTCCTTCAAAATTATCCGGCTCTCTTCCATCTCAGCTTCTCAGGGCCATCCTCTTTCAAATCTAGCTGATCATTCGTTTTTTTCCATCACCGCTTCATTCCATACCCATATCGCATAAAGATTCTAATACTATTTCACTTTCCTTGCCACATTATCTCGCCCAAACTTCACCCTTCCTCTATTCCGGCTTGAACACCTATCAGGAAACTATGTCCATTTTCACCTTTATAAATACCTGCTTCACTAAACCATTATTCTATTCGCTTCCAAAAAAAATATGCTCCCTAATGCGCTATTTTCGCACCAACTTCGAAATATACTATAACCACTCCTCACATCTTGAGTCAGCCTTCCGTATGCGATTATCACATCAGGAATTATCCTTATAAACGTTTCCCATTTTTTCGATGAATCTTTTAATCTAATAAGGAATCATCCTCCTTGCCTATTCGTCTTCGTATAGCTTGCCCTTACAGTCCTTGCCCCAAAATCTATCTCCGGATACTACAATCATAATCCTTCGCCACACTGCTGCCAAGTCTCTCATAGGTGTAGGAACACTGCCGCATCCCGATACGCTTTCGCCTCGCTCACTCCTTTCTGAGTTTTTACCTTATTTCGCATGTATGTAAGTACCAAGTTTAACTTCTCTCATTATAAAGGTTGTGTCGACACCTCAATCACCCCTCTTTCAAGAGCATACTCTCGATAGGCTTTCCAGAATGCCTTTATGCGACTGCTCCGTGTTGGATCATTGTTTCCTTCCCTCACTAATAAGCTGAAGCTATTGTTGAAACAATTTGTCACCGCATCAACCATTGACGGAGAAACTATGGGCATACCCACCCTATCAGTAGTCTTACAACGACCCTCTACATCAGTCAACCATTGGCTGCTCATAAAAGAAAGTACATCCATATCACAGCAAGTCATATAGCTTCGCCCCACGCTATTTCGATCCAACCACTCATTTAGCCCAAGAAGTATATTATGCATGTTTTTCCACTATCGCCTTCCAGCGCCAAACTCTTCAATCAAATTGTTGCACCATTCTAACCCAGCATTGTAATCTCCTTCATGATCTGGAGTCGCTCGCTACTGCCGCCAGCTTCCTTCGCTCATTCACGCGTTCCACCTTTCCCTGCAAAATGACATGGTTACTTGCGGGATGATGCAGGGATCTGGACGACTTAGGAGGTGTGAGGGTCTGAGGCCCACCTACGAGACTTCTTTTTTAGTCACCATGCATCATCGGCAGCTTACTATTTCCTTATTTTATTTGGATTGGACTTGTGCAGCATTTGTCTCATTTCAACCTCTTCGGTTGGTTACAATTTTTACGACTACTGATTGTTATTGTTCGGGTCTACGGTTCTCTTATATGGTTGGGACTTTGGAACTTCATTAGGAGTGATGTGACCTTTGTTTTCTGGATTCTTCTTTCCTGACCGATGATTCTCGGCATGCTCGACTCTCATTTTTTCAGTTTCTTCATGAGTGAATTTTCCAAACCTACATCCGCAACCCTAAGTTCTTATTGCAGCATCTATGGCCTACATCTACAACTTTGAGGCCTGGAACTCACTCGGGATGGAGCTGAACCTCGTTCGACCTCCTGGCACCGCTCCCACTGCCAGCCACGATATAAGTTACAGGCATCGTATTGTTGGAGGCAGGATGCAAAGACTCTCATGCTGCTCTGTCCTGAGGTCGTCCGGTTGCAGCGAACATTGCTTGCGTGAACCTGCACTCCATCCACGCACATGTTCGGTCAGAAGGATCTGAGGAAGGAGTGGGTCTGTCCCCGGGCCGCCAATTTTAGCGAAGAGGTCCCGCACGCCCGACGAGATTCCCGCGGTGGGCATTGTGCAGGCTTGCGGCGACCTACGAGACTTCTTTCTCAGTCATCACAATTGTCCTAGGTGAGTCTCCGAGGTTGGTTGCGGTTTTCTGATGTTACCACCAGCCCTGGTTTCAGTTACCTATCATATGCGTTTTGACGTGCAGTTTCGTTTTCGTAAGGCAGACGTGATTTGACATGTGACAGTCCATTGTCCTCCCACAGCCTTTGATTTTGGACGTTTACAATCGGTATCTTTCTCCATATCGCACCATCTCTTGTATTGAGAGGATCAACGGTTCAATTGGTGGGAGTGTAAATCAACAGAAGGAGCAGGTGGATTGATGAACAACGATCAGAAATTGGAGGACTGATCTAGGATGCATTTGGACGTTTTGGTCTTGCAGGCACTGCTACCACTGATGTGACGGTATAAGTCATCCGTACAGCATCGGTCGACGCAGGTTGGTCGACCTGTTGAAGTTTTATCGCGCCTCCCTCGAGTACGCGTCATACAGCAGCGCCAATTGCATGTCCAATTTGCAAATAAGCAGGCGAGATACACAATTAAGATCCTCAGCCGGTTATGAGGAGACTTTCATGTGGTGTGTGAGCCTGGCCCCCCCATTTCCAGAACTCTCTTCTTTGGATCTGGCACATCAAAGGTAGCATTGTGCCAAAACAAATAAAACCGCAAATACAAATGGTTTCAACAACCGATCTCAACAATTTCAGTTC